CGAGCTTTGCTCACCGTCAAGAGTTTACTTACAAGTGTCTGTTGCATATCTAATGTGCTCCCCATTACAGGTGCTGATGAAGAGCTGAACTTGGGAGAAGAGCGTCTCAAAGTCTGGGATGTTTGGCATGGAGAACTTCACGAATCTGACAGCAAGAGGAGGAGAAGGTCAGCTCTCGTCTTCCAGTGCAACCATGAGAAATTAACAACATCACAGGCCTCGACAGGAAACAACTAAATATTAACTAAACCAAAGTTTAGCTGAAAATCTTAGTCATATGTAATATATTAGGATTTATGCAGGTTTTAAACATATTTTTTTTATGAAAACTACATCTCTGTATGAAAAAAAAGTTTTGTTCTTTTACTGGGCTGAATAAAAGAATGTAATATTCTAATTTAAATTTCATGTTTTCATTCTCTATAAGCAAAAAAAAAATCATCATGAAGGCTGGAATTAATCTACACAATTTGTTTCATTTAGTGACAAACCTGTGAAATAAATGGACTTTTCAATAATATTCCAATTTACTAAAATCTTCAGCACATGTTTCTTTCTTTTCTAAAGAAGAGAATCAACCATGTTGCTACCAGAACATGCAACCTGGTTGCATGTTCTGGTAGCAACATTTTATTCTTTTTCTCAAATTGTGTGTCACAATGTAGAACTAGGTTATTATTTATGGGTAATTATTGCAACAGACAAGATCAAATATTGCAAAGTGGAAAGAAAATATGTAGTTTTTCAAAGGTATTTACCAAAACAAATCTGAAAACTACATATTTTCTTTCCACTTTGCAATATTTGATCTTGTCTATTGCAATAATTACCCATAAATAATAACCTAGTTCTACATTGTGACACACAATTTGAGAAAAAGAATAAAATGACTTTTCAGAAAATGACAGTTTTTACCACGTCCTAGAGAGAGAACAACTGATCTTCAAACACTCCGACAGAATACCGTAAAGCAGATGAGACAGAAGAACAATGGCGCCTAATGAGCGCAAACAGAGGAGAACTCTGACTCACAGCACAGCCAGCACGCCCAGGGAGTGCTCCTGGATGTCCAAGGCCCCCAGCACCGTGTCCAGGTGGGACAGATTTTTGGCCAGCAGCTCCCCGCTCTTGTTGATCAACTCGCACAGCTGAGTCATCTGGCCTGGGAGGGGAAGGGAGATTGACAGGGAGAAATTTAAACTTCCTAAAATTACAGCGCCTTGGGAAAGAAAGTCAGGAAAGAAAAAAAACAAAACAAAACAAAAAAACATTTTAGATCCAGTTAAACTTTTACACGTTTTTGTCTCGTTACAACCACAATCTATGGTCAGAGGAAAGTCTTTTATTTAAAAAACAATCTATGAGCATCTTTTTAAATCCAGTGCAACCAATTTCCTCCAGAAGTCCCATAGCTAATAAAAACACTTTACCTGAATTTTAGTTCCTGTTAGGGAACATCAGTGAGCAAACATGAAATCTGTGATAAAGCTTTGGAATAAAAGCTAAAGCTCAACCAACTTGTAAAACGAATGGAGGAATACACACACGTGTTGCCTTTTAAGGTAGAAATATTGGTAATGTCGTGCAGGCTGTGTTTCAAATGATAAATAGTAGCATATCAACTTCAATGTAGCGGAAAAAAAAAGAATCAGGAATAAGTGACTGAGCTTGAGTCGGCCGGTAAAGACAAAGCAGAAGACTCAGCTCTGATTATGAAGTGTCTCTGACTTTTCAGATTTGTTTTGGTAAATACCTTTGAAAAACTACATATTTTCTTTCCACTTTGCAATGTTTGATCTTGTCTGTTGCAATAATTACCCATAAAACACAGATGTCTGTTCGTGATAAAAAGTGGAAAAGTGCAAGACACTATTTTTTTCCAAGAAAAAAAAATACACGAAAAAAAAGAAAACCTAAAGGACACTGTATTTATGTAATAACGTTAACTGTGTGTCACTTTAAGGGCTAGTGTAAGACGAATACTTTTTTTATTCATTGAAATAAATAATATTAAATGGCTACGTTTTCTATATTTTCCCTCCTGATGAGTTATTACTTATAAAAGTAGAAAACAACATGAATCACATGCTTGTTTTGTGCCAACCCACTGCGAGTTATTTAAAACACCAATCGGCCGGTCAGATGCCCTGTCAAGGCCTTGCACAAGGGAGGTAAAGCAAAAGCGATTGACAGATACGACTTTCAGCCAATTATGTTCCAGATTTTGCTTTAACGACCAATCAGAGGAGGCCTGGGCGGGACTACCGGTAGGCAATACTCAGAAATTATTAGCTAGATCAAAACCAAAAAGTAGAATTTTGACATTTAGTTTTACGGGTCGTGGGGTTTGAGCGAGTCTTAAGAGTTACGAGGAACAGACGAACCCCATGCTGAGAGTTTACGGGACTCTCGCGCCCCAATAAACTCGTTTTTGTGGTGTGTTTACATGATAAAGCAAAAAGCAGAGCTCTGAGCAGTTCTGCTGCCTGGCTATCGCCAAAGCATTGGGTAGCATATGCTAGCTAACTAGCTAATACTTCTCACTACGGTGAGTTTAGCGGCCCTACCTTGAGCGGAGAGCTGCCGCACGTTGTTAACGAACTGCTCCAGTGCTGAAGCCATTATTTCCTGGGTCCAAAGTGGAGGTAATTCGCAGTGTTTTTCATTCAAACGTCAGAAACAAGTCGGTCCGGATTGAGACAGGGGGCCACACAGCCGCCACTGATGGGAAAGCTATCGCGAGAACACGGGAACAGAACAGGCTGCTACGGGATTAACGAAACGTCATTTTTGACTCTTAAAGTACCACATACACGGTTTTGCTCGCCGTTTTGTATTTCAAAATGAATAACAAAATTCTACAACTGGTTTATAAAAACTTTTAGAAATGATCTTAAGGGGCTTAAGATGGCGGACTATTATACTGTAGAAAAGAAAATGGTAATGGCAAAACACTAAGAAATGCGGAAGCCACTTCCTTGATTTTAACAAAGATGTTTTTTACACTAAGAGCTCCTGTCTATATAATTTTTTTTAAATTTCAACATTTACCTGTCATGCACCATGTTAACTACAGCTCTACAGGAATAAGTGGGAAATGGCATAGACTACAAACAATGGATGGACGACCATTTACCTCAGAAGTCAGAACTCATTTCATTTCCAAACATTCTAAATGCATGGAAAGCCATATTGAAATATGAGGTTGCAGTTGAATGACCTTCAATGGAGTGCTCGAGTTTTAACCATAAGTTGAATTTTCTGTTTAAAATGCAAACATAATGCATTGGATTTGTCTTGAAAGTTGGAGCTAAAGTTATATGACAACACATATAACCACATTCTGGTTGGAAAAACTAGCTGTTTGCAAAAAAATAAAAAACGAAAGAAAAAGAAAATCTAGTTGGATTTGCTAAGCATAACCAAGCTAACGGCTATAAGCCTATAAATATTTCTCAGCATCTTTGTTTCTTCACATTCAAACCTGATGTCACATTCTACTCAACTTCTACAGTGATGACAGTTCTCTAAGGTGAAGTTTAAGACAGATGAAACCTTTATTTGTGAAAAGAAAACCATCACCGGTTAAACACATGATTAACCTGATTTCAGTTGCAATATAAAACAACTAAGTAGTTGTTGAAGGTAGGCTCATCAGACAGAAAAGCACTGATTTTAGATTTTTTGTTTTGTTTTCTTCAATGCTAAACTGCAGAAATGATGTGGTACACTTAAAACACACCGAGTGAGCTCTCTTTTCTGTATAAACCATCTTGGAAGGAGCTGGTGTTGTGTCGCGTTGAGTTCCAGGCTAGGATGCGTTTCTACCAGTTCTGCCTTCCCACACGCAATTGCGCTTCTCAACGGTATTTACGGCCAACCTCGTGGTGCATTCAAATACACCACTCAAACTAGGATATTTATATTGAAATAACTTGAAAATTATTTAACATTTGCTAGTACACAATGCCACCAGGGCCTTTATAAACTCTTCATGATTAATACCTTTGGTAGCTTTCAAGTAGTTCACTGACATACATTGGTTTTATTAAATTATATTTGACTGAATCTAAACATTTTAATTGTGAAATTCTTCTACTGCAGTATCTTTGAATGAATGATTTTGTGTTAAATAAAAAGATCAAATTGATTAAAATGAGTTTCACTTAATCCTATCAACATGTCAACAAGTTGTCTTTTATGTATTCATCATGTTGGAGTAACTTATTTTGTCCAAATTTTTAAGTGGGTTGAATTAATTTCTTTTTTTTAATTACCTAATTTGTAGTATATTTAAAGTTATTTGAGGTCAGTTATTATTGTTGTCAGTTTTTGCTATTTAAGCAAGACAAATAAAACTACAGAACCTATTCTATGAGTACATGAGTAGGTAAAGGTCTGGAATGTACTGGGGTGGGTATATTGTTCTTACAAGAGCAGGAAAACTCAGCAGAAAAAAACAGAAAAGTTCTGTTTGTTGCTTGTCTGAATGGATGAAAACCATGAGACAGAATTTTCAAATTTGAACATTTGACTCGTTTTGCTTTCCTTCTAGATATTGGCAAACAAAAGTATGCATCATAAAAGAGAGACCAGCATATGACGTTTCATTTTCAGCCTTTCAATCATTCTTTACACACTGACAATTCAAGAACAGACACAGAAGCATAAAACTATTAGACAATTAATAAATGAAGGCAATGTTCATTTTTAGATTGTGCTATTTGCTTATTAAGTGATAAACATGACTTTGTTCATGTTATTAAATAATTCTTTTCAATATTTTGGAAAGAATTAAATATATCTATACAAATGTACGAATTGACTTGAATGCACCACGGGCAAAACGTTTTATTTTACTTCGCCGTAAAACACCGTTTAGAAGCGCAACTGATGAGGAAACAAATCTCAACGGGGGAACCCGAACTCGACACAACACCTGTTTGTAGTACAGCTTGTTCCCACAGCTGAGCTCTTCTTCCTCCTGATGCCGCAAAAACAGGCGATAACTGTCCGTTTCCGTCCACACTGCTTCAGTGGCCGCTGTTACCGTTGCAGTGGGACGCCCAGTAACAGCTGACGGGTAGCTAACACATCGTCAAACCGCTCTGAGTGCAGCGTCCAGCGGTGTCACATTTGACCTGGCCGCTGCTGCTGTTAGCCTGACAGGGAGCCAACAGTGTTAGCTTAACTCCAGCAGCGAAACGGCCATGTACAGTGAAACACAACGTCATAAATAAGCAGCAAAAGAAAGAAAGAAAACAGTGCTAAAATAAGTTTATTTTTTATCTCCAATGCGGACTTTTTGTCGGCTTGTTCCAGGCGCAGTGAGTTCGGAGAGGTTTAGCGATTGTTGGCGGCGGCAGCAGCGATGTTGCTGTGCACGACTGCAACACGCCTACTGGGAAGAGGGAAAACTTTGCTCCCTGATCCGTTTAAGAGGATTGCTATAAACATGTCGTCCTCCTCCGACGCCGGTAAGAGACTGCGGGTCCTGGTCGACATGGACGGAGTGCTGGCGGACTTCGAGGGGGGCTTCCTGAAGAAATACAGGGCCAGGTACCCGGACGAGCCCTTCATCACCCTGGATGACAGGAGAGGCTTTTGGGTGTCTTTACAGTACGGACAGCTCAGATCCGACCTAAGTGTAAGTAAACGGTCAGATAGAAACAGTTTTTACGGAGATACAATATAGCTACTATCCCAACTTTTTTTTGTTTGTTTGGTTAAATAAATCAGCGATTTGGCTACTATAGTTTGCCGTCTTTAGTCATGTGCCATCGTCAGATTTTCAGTAACTTTTGGTAAAGTGTTGTAGATTCTTATTTAATCAATATAAAATATTCTCTCCCCAAAGCAAGTTCTAGACCTCTGGTGACATCACACGAGGCACATTAATGCCACCGATTTATTTCTGATCATGTCCAGTTGCGTTTTTTTCTTCTTTACTCATACCATTTATATGGAATACTATTATACAACTGAAAAAATGATTATGTTGATCTCATAATTCTGAATTTTATTTTCAGAAAAAAAATCAGTACAAAATTTGAGATTAAAGACAGTATTTTAAGATAAAAGTTAGAATTTTGACAGAAAAAAATTGAATTATAAGGGAAAACAAAGTAATAATTATGACAGTTAAGTCTTTTATTAATTTTTTTAGGTGGCTCCAGACCTCTTCCTTATATTTAATACATTTCTTCCTTTGGCTTACTTGTATTTTGTATGGCTGCAGCAGAAAGTTGGACCACTACATGGATTTCAGGAAAAACTTTGAACAATAAAACATTTGAAAGCAGTTTGTGAAAAGTTCTAGGCCAAACTAGTGAAGGGAGGGGTATATCAAATTAATCTAAACTCTGCTGTCAGCTGACCATATTGACTCTTGTTCCTCTTGTGATGTCATTAACTCAAGTACACAAAAAGCAGAATTAGCATTTCTCACTGAACTTTTTAAAAACGTTGCATTTTGTGAAATCCAACAGTAAGAATGCAAACGTCTGTCCCATGTTTTGGATGGGTTAAGACTTTTTCACAGAGTGTCGATAACAAACTTGACCTTTGTTCCTTCTTGTTGTACACTAGATACACTGATACTAATGCAAACACACGTGATCCGGTGGATGTAAACTAACTGTTTCCATCTCTCTTCAGGAAAAAGCCATCAGTATCTGGGAGTCCAAAGGCTTCTTCATAGACTTGGATCCTCTCCCTGGAGGAGTGGAGGCGGTGAAGGAGATGGCCAGGATGGATGAGTAAGAACAATCAGAATACGACGGAATACGGCGGATAAAAACTTGTTTATACCAGTTTATCCGTGAATTTGCCTTTGACTGGTTTGATTGAACATTGCCTCAAATGCTGATTTTTTTCTTTGCTTCCCACTTTCATCAAAAGTATCAAAACTACCAACCAACAGGATGCACATCAGTGCACTTTTTTGGAGTTTATTAAATCTGATTAAGTTTAAGAGCATTTGCTTTTATGCATAGAAGAAGTTATTCCTTCAACTGATTCATTTTCTGTTGGACTAAATACTCTTACTAGCGACCCTCTGTGCATTTTTTCTCTTCTATGTTATGGTCTTTGTTCAATACCAAATCAATCAAAAAAAAAAAAAGAATCACCAGGACAGAAAACCAAAAGCAACAACACCCTCTAAGTTTAACTGTCTCATAAAGAAAAGATTGTGCATTTTGGAACAAAGCAATACATCGTCAGCATACAGGATAATCTTACAAGTCAAATTAGTCGTTTCTCAGGTGATTCGGTCCTTTGTTTTTTAAGCGCACCTGCTAGTCGTTTGATAAAGATTCCTTGACATGTAAACAGCATTGTCATGTGCCTTTGAGGTTGAAACTAACAGAGAACATTTCCAAAACTAAGTAAGCTTCATGGTAGCCTTGCAGCTGGGCGTTTCAACATACATTTGTTGATGAGATGGTATTGAATCTAATATTTGGCCACTAGAGGGCAGTAAAAACAAGTTAGTAATAGAATTGTTACACCAGGATAACTTTTTTTCAAGCCAATGGCAATGTCCTTAGGCAGAAAGTAGGGGTACTGTTACCTCATTGAGGCAGTACTTCTTTGTTATACACAAATAATTGTACAGATCTCCCAAACAACCAATAAAATAACTTGGCGATATTAAAGTGCCCATCCTTGTACTACCAGCAGATCATAAGTCTGGCATTGATGTTTTTCTTGGACAAAACTCTGTCATCTTTGCGTCTCTTTTAGTCATCAACCGTATTATTAAAAAAAAATCTTCACTCACAGACACCCTGCTGCCAGTGATAAGCAAGCTCTGCCTTGGTGGTGAGTGATTTTGCAAGGTTTGTGACACCATCTTCATCAATGATGGTGATTTTAGACAGATGCACTCAGGAGCCTTTTTCTTCTCCTGAACCACTTTGGGTGAAGCTCCTCTCAACCCCACCTTACGTAGTCATTACATATTGAACATTTCTATCAAAAGTGATCACTCTGGATGTGTTTGAGCTCTTCATGTGAACTGTTGCGACTTGTGTCCAGCATAATAAAGAGGCTGTGTGGGTGGCATATGCAGCGAGAATAGGAAATGAATCGCCATGTGTTTCCACTGAGCTCTTGTTGTTTCCTTCTCTCCCTGCAGCACAGATGTCTTTATTTGCACGAGCCCCATTAAACATTACAAACACTGCCCATATGAGAAGGTGAGCCTCCTGTTGATCAATAGCATGGAATCTTCTGCTATGATGATCATTAAGGGATTTTTTCTAACAACTGACACCTTCATTGTGTGTGTGTGTGTGTGTGTGTGTGTGTTTTTCCAGTACGCCTGGGTGGAGAAGCATTTAGGCTGCGACTTTCTGGAGCAGGTCATTCTGACCAGAGATAAAACCCTAATTGCCGGTGACCTCCTCATCGACGACAAGCCTGACATTCAAGGTGGGCTTTGTGGACTTGCATTGTTTATGTTGTGGCATTCAATAGCTCTTAGACTGAGCAACGCTTTGAAAAAGTATACTTAATATCAGCCTGGGCAAAAACAAAAAATAAATTTTATTTACAGGATTTTATTTACTAAAGGGAAACAGCCTGACCAACCAGAAAAGTTGGTCAGAATAAAAAAAAGATATCAGCCCTCTCCGAGTTTAACTCTGATGTATGAAATTTCTCTGGAGATAAATAAAGTGTCTGTCAGTCTCTATTTATTTACTTACCAGCCACATGTAGGCCTGGTTAATCAGCATTCAAGAACGTCCAGGCCTTAGGGTGGCACCTTCAGCGCAGTTGAGTTAAGCAGCACAGCAGTGATCCAAGGCACAGCAGAAAAGGTTTAAAAAATAAATACTTTGTGTGAGTAATCCAGTCTAAGTTTGGACTTATGAATGACTTGGAAAACTCTCACGAACACTCGATTTCCAATAGAAGGGGATTGTTACATTTGCAATGATACATAGCCTTGCAAATGTATTCAGTAGTGGTGCATCAATTTCAGTTTTCTTGCTGATCTTTCCCCCATTTAAATGGGTTTCTTTGGTCGGAATACCAGCCAGGCCAATCAGTGAACAGAAGGAAAAGTTGTGAACGATGAAGTCGATTTTCTGCGCTGTTTTAGATTTATAGTCTGACTGTAGTTTTTGCGATGGCAACGGAGGAAGTAAATGAAGCCTTTCAGTCTATTGAATTAAAATCAGCAGCCGCCTCGTTTGACTCGGCACTTCTCTCTTTGCAGCACAGGCTGGTCGTTTACAGAACACGCAATTTCCGGTTAGTTGCATAGAGTCGAAACGGAGCATTTCATACATTACAGACAAACATTAGCGATTGGGTAAAATTTAAAACTTCAACTGAGTGTACACCTTCAGGAAGCAATCGGTCGTCAATAGCCAAGGGTCCAGACCATCTGTAGAACAAGGGACTGCTTTTTGCCAGGATACTTTAACTTAGTCTGGTGTGTTAAATCCCAATGAAACCTATTGAAATCACCAGTTGCAACACACATTTTATATGTGTATCCATGCGTCCTGTTCGTCTTTGACTGCAGTTGCTCTGAAACAACCTTCTGAATGCTCCTTCTTGTTAAACACAAGTAATATGTTACATAATCTTTTATGTCTTGATCAGGTGTGGAGCCCACACCAGCGTGGGAACACATCCTGTTCACCGCCTGCCACAACAAGCATCTGTCCGTCGGTCCCTCCCAGAGACGGCTCCTGTCTTGGTCTGATGACTGGAGGGGCATCCTGGACAGCAAAAGGAAGTGAGGAATGCCACTCATTCCTCTGCATCATAGTAACCAGGGTAACCGGAATACAAGACTGATCGTCCAAGACTGTTGAAGTTGCAACGACGTGAATGGACCAGCATTTCCTGCCGTTGTTTCTGAAGAAGAAAACTGAAGTCAGCCGTGCAGTTGTTGGGAGAGAAGAGAGAAAATTCACTTATTTCACCACCAGAGGGCAGCATGACACAGGCCAACCTCACGTCCACCGAACATCTCTAAATAACCGCATGTCGATTTTTAACAGGGCCAGACCGCATTAATGGAAGTTGTTGGTATTGCTCTCCTATGGCTTCTAAATTTGGAGCTTTCTGCTCAGAATCCATTTCGTTTTATTTTTGGCTTACTTTAGTGGTTTTTTTATATCCTCATTACAAAAGGCCAGTCCCATAAACATGTCCATGCACTGTGATTCACACAAAACATCAGGGCAGTCAGCTACACAGGAAAACAAACAAATATAGCCTCACAGAGCCGTAAGAGCTGGTGAACGTGAGCACAGGAGTGTGACATCAGACCCTGGATTACTGTAACGGTTATAGTTGGTATTTATTTTACCTCGACTTAAATGAAACACCACTGTAATGTACAGAAATTTACATCCACTCATCACTGGCATGCATGTTTCACTTTTAATGTTACGTTTAAATATGACTGTATAGAAACAAAATTAAAAGTTTGGCACCATGGACCTGCTTTTTTGATATCCTTGAGGTCGAGGGTTTGCTTCTCAAGTTTTCCAAATTTTTCATCTTGACCTCAAATCCACAATTAGACGGTTAAGATAATAGATTAATACAAACAGTTGTTCCAACAGGGATGTTTGATGGCCGGGAAAATCCATAATAAATTCAAACTACAACCAAAAAGAAACAGTTAAAATTCGTCACTGAAAGCCCTAAATGAGCATGAAATCGATGCCAGAGATGAAGGTATGTAAACTTCTGACCACCACCGCGGGAAAGGCGGATGACCTGGAGGAAAGTTTTGTTTTTATGCAACTTAAAAATTACAACTTTGGTGCTCTTATTTTTGTAGCATTTCATAATTATCTATGCATCTCACTTCACCCACTGAGGTAAAACGTACTCACACACACACGTTGCCAAAAAACCCACGTAAAACAAACATAGCAACTCAAAACTTCTGTTCTTTGAAAAGTTTTCCTATTCTAAACTATTAAATAGAATATTTAGAAATTCCAAGTCATTTTCAGTTAGATGTTCCACATGAGATGTACTATGTGTATTTTTATACTGTAGCGTGTTTACATTCGCACATAAAAGTAGATGGAGGGTAGAAACTTCGAACTAACTCCAAAGTGTTAGATTTATTGGAGTAAGACGATTTTTGAGTTGAAAAGTGTTTCAGAATGAAGTTGCCGCAAAACAACACAAACCTTTTTTTACCTCACTGTTTTAAAGGAACTTGTTGCTCTTCCCCATCAAAGCTTTGAGAAGACATGGTCCTTAGATTTGTGTGTTTGTGCCTGGTTCAATCTCCAACTTCAAATCGGTTTCTGACTTTTCTGTTTTAACACATTGTTTTCTCCATCTGAAGCCAGTGAAAAATAAAGGACACTTTAACATGTCTTTTTTTCCTGTGCTGTTATTCATTTCGGTTCACCCTGCTAAAACAAACGTTAAGGCAGACAGTTTGGACAGATGTTAGGAAACTTGCCCACCCCCCAGAGTTTCACCTCCCAGCATGGTGGGGTGGTGGGAGAGTTCAGACATGATGGGGCACACCTCTTTGTCCTTGTTGTCATTTCTTCCATCAGTCCATGTCATATCAGAAAAACATATATTGAATTCTTTTGAACAGTTTTCCAAAATCTTCTACTTTATTGTTCCAGCCAGATGGATTTTGCAGTGTATGAAAAACTTCTGATGTTTGGTAGCTGTTACACTTTGCATTTAGTAATAGTTGCCTAACATTCTCCGCAGTAGTTTTGGTAAATAAATCAATATATGGTGCTCGTGGTTTATGAGCAGTCTGAGACGGTACAACTTTGTCTTTCAGTCATTTCAAGATCTGGATGAGCCTGGAAAAATCCATCCCCTTGATCTATGGTTTGCTGCATACAGAGGGTCTCTGGACCCTCAGCTACTGACAAATGATTACTTCCTGGAGATGTGGTCTCTGTTGAAGTTTTACATTTTACCCAATTACCAACCGTTGGCCGAGACGTATGTAATGTACCAGTTCAATGCTATGAAGCTTACTGTAAATTGCTTTTATTTCTATCCTTAGTCCCTTCCTCGTGTTCTTTCTTTGTTCCTTATCCTTGTGTCTTTTCTGGCATCCTTCCTTTTATTTTCTTCCTTCCTTATTTTCTTCTCCCTCCTTCCCCTCTTAGCACTTTCACCTTAATTAAACAATTTTTCCCAGTCATTGTGGGGGCAAACAAATTAAGATCCTGATGTGTTATTTTACATCACAGTAAAGTATAATTTAGCTTTTCATTTAGCAAAAGCAAAGAGTTAGACCTTTATTCTTAAAATAATGTAGAAAAATGAGAAAATGTATGAAAAAAGAAGACTTTGTTATATGTAACAATTTAACAATGGCAAAATATGTTTTCTGAACATGTAGTTTGACGACTTTGTCCTTTTCCTTCAAAAAACGTTTTTCCCTCAACTATCATTAAAATGAATTCAGTCTCTTTATCAGATTGTTTGTGTTATTTAACTTGAATATTAAAATCCAGAACTTATATGTCTATATAATCAGACATACTCTCTAAACACCGGAGCAGTGTATTTACTGATGAATGTGTTCCACAGCATTTTTGACAAACAGCTGACATACATACATATGAACCAGACAGGTTGGATTTTAAAGTTGAATGGACGAAATGGTTATGTTTATAGCATACAACATATGTAAAGCTTATTAAATTTTCTTAAAGGGGATACCTGGACTTGAACCCTACCAAAGAGAGAGTGACATGACATAACAAGCTTTCCCTCATTCTCAATCATCAACCAGTTGGATCAGCTGGTTAATTTCAGATTGGACTGTGGACTGTTGAAAAAGAGATGGGCAAAGATTTCAGGAAGCTGAAAACTCACAAACACGACTCCTTGTTTTCTAATAAAAGCTCTTCCATCCTGTTTGTGACCTGATGAACTGCCGTAGTGTACTTCCGAAAGTAGTTAACCCATCTAATGGATCAGCTATCACTCAGCCGCTGGAAGCTTCTGAGGAGGAACTCGTCCAGAATGTTCCAGCTGATCGTCCTTCCAGCGGTCATCTTCTTATTGGTAAACTTGGGTTGTGTAACAGCCAGCAAACAGCCAACCATTGAAAAACGCTTCTTCAGTGTAAATTTCATGTCAGCCCCTTTGGTACATTGCTGAGCAGACAAAATGCAAAACCGCTGCCTTTGGCTGAGCTTCAACAGTCATTCTGCTGCGCAACTAACAATGTAAAAAACACAATCAATGCTTTGTGTCAAATATGAGAAACTGGATTATACATGCTCTTGTTGCAGCTACCATTTGGCAAGATTCAAAGCAGGGTGTGATAATAACAAGAGCACTTGACTACTGTCAAAGCATAGTGGTTCATGTCCAAAACAAATACACACCAGTATTGGACCACTTAGATCATATCCGTGACATTAACGTAATACCACAGCTTAGGAGGGACTGATGCACAAGACAAGAACATTTAGGCCTGTTTATTAGCCTGATTATGATTGCATAGAAACAATAAAATCCAAAATTTTAAATGCACATATAAAACAGTGAAAACAAAACACTTCTTAAGAGCCCACAATACAAAACCTACAAAAACACTGGCTGGGGTTTCTGTAGAAACTTCTTCTGTCTAGGTTTAAAATGAAACCAGTTAGATTTGGGCCTTTACTTGTTACATACTAAATAATAATAATAATAATAATAATAATAATAATAATAATAAACAAGTTCTACATGTTGACCTCACATAGAGAAATAGCTCTTTTCTTGGTTTCTTAAGATTGTGACAGTGATGTGATCCAATCTCTTCATTAATCGACTAGTCTGCACCAACCCTTTGTTGGCTAGACTCGAGCCAACTGTTTCTTTATTCCTACTGACTTCCAGGAGCAGAACTAGACTTTCATACACGGGATGGCCAAAGGGTGGGCAAGGCTTTATTCTGGGTCCATACACTAATAAAGGGAAATATCTTGTGTCTCTAACCTGGTTCCTGGAGAAAATGCTTCTTATGATTATCATGGCATGATCTGTCCCAATACTAAAGATGTGACCACCTGGTGACACGTTAAGATTTGCATAGCCTTTAGCTCATATGTGCAGAAATCTAAAAATGTGTCCAATATCTGAATTCTATTTTTTTAAATGCAAAAATCAATCTACACAAGTAAGAGTAGGAATAGTTCAAAATATTAGTCAACTAGAAATAAAAAGTACAGTGAGGTAAAGCTACTCCTGTGAGATTTTTTTGGCTTGTTTTTCAAAAAGTTACTGAAGTAAATGTAACCAGAACTACCAACTTCTGAACATACAAGTCCTGGTCATAAAATTAGAATATCATGAAAAGTTGATTTATGTCAGTAGTTCCATTCAAAAAGTGAAACTTCTCTAATATCTTTATTCATTACACAGACTGATGTATTTCAAATGTGTATTTCTTTAAATTTTGATGATTAGAACTGAGAACTAATGAAACAAAAACAAATGGGCAATGCCTCCCCGATGCCTGCCCATGCCGCCAGCGCTGGTTTCTGCAGCCATTTGACCATTTGCTTGTATTAAAATGTTCATTGCTATCTTATACATTCCAACATATCTAACACTTTAAATGTTTTTATTTTTGTCCTAGTTCTGATTTCTATCTTGTCTCAAACCTAGAGCGCTCTGAAAGCAGCAGAGGCAAACCCCTGATCAGAGATAAAGGTAATAATTAGGTTGAGGTAACAGACGTAATCACGCGTGAACTGCCAGGCATTTTCTGCAGAACTTGGTCACTGCTGGTCAAAAGCGTCAGAGCGGAGATCCCAGCAGAGCAATAGAGCTGAACTGGACTGAACAAGAGTTTCTCTCATGAGAATGTACTCCTACTGGACAGTCAACAGTACACTTTGTATTGCTTGCTCAGTGAGGATATGATGTACAAGATGTGCCCTTGGGGACCAGGGAAGACGCCAGATGTGGTCTGTGCTAGAATTAGTGCTACCGTCTGAATTAGACGTGGCTGGAAAAAACTGGAACCACACAGTAATGAGCACATAAAATACTGCGGAAGGGCTCGGGTGTAGCTTTTTCTGTTTGCTCACTTGTATTTTTACTTTCATTACAACCCTGCAGCTACATCCCACACTCTGTTATCCTGCCTCTCTGTTTGTATTGCTTTCCTTCCGTTTGTCTAATTGCTTTATGGGTGAGAGGAAAAATGTGTTGTATAAGATATGTTCCAGAAAGCTTCATGTGTACAATCAAGCACATTGATGTGCTTTGCAGACCACTGGTTCCTCTTTTTTTTTGGAGGAGGAGGAGTTACTTGAATGACCCCTACGGTGTGTAACTCAGGTTTGTAACTCACTTGCTAATAGCTAATATTGCCGGGAAGTTTCATCATCTGATTGTGAGAAACCTGATCGATGGGTAACAAACCCAGAGGAGGTGTTATGATTAATTCATGAAAATCCTTTACAACACTGTAGTTCTTTAATCGAGGCACTTTACAAACAAGTTATTTCAGTTCAATCACCCATATGTTCCAATTTATCCCAGTTATCACACAGTGCAATAAGTTCAGTTCACTATTCCAATTAGTTTAAGAAATTTCTATGAAAGGAAACCCAGTAGTTTGCATCAAGTAATTTATTCCTCTTGGTCGACCACATAGTGACAGCAGAGAATTGTTTGCATTGCAAACAATTCTCTTTACAGCAATCCCTCAAAACAAGACAAGGCTCTTCATTGAAACTGACCAGCCAGGCAAGGAAAGCATTGATAACAAAAGCAGCTAAGAGACCTGTAGCAACTCTTGTGGAGCTACAGAGATCAACGGCTCGGGTGGGAGAATCTGTTGACAAGTATAAGGGTTGCACTCCACAAATCTTGTATCAGAAAGTCATTCCCTAATTATTGGAAGTCCGATTTGCAGTTTGCTACAAGCCATGTGGTGGAAACATGTGGGAAAAGGTAATTTGCTCAGACTTCTTGGCATACTTGCAAAATTATGTGACAGAACACTGCACACCACCCTGCAAATTAACAAATGCTTCCAACATCTTATGAAAACTAATTGCCGCAACGTTTTAAACATGTATATGTGGCACGCATGTCATTTAGTTGGGTTTTTTCTATTGGAGAGTGGCAGTTCAAAACGAATACATGTGCAAATCTTTTCTGCATGCATGATTTTGATTTCACGTGCTTACGATTCCCATGCAAGTGAAACACCCACAGCTGCTGGCATGTTAAATTTGAGTCAGTGGCAAGCATGTTTTAACCGGTGCCAAACTGGCTATTCATCTAAACCAAGCATAACCGGTTTATTGGCATCTGTCTGTCAACAGTCATGTTTCCATCCATCTGTGTAGTAACAGGACACAGTGTTTTGCTGAGCTGGTATT